GTATACAAAAAGGACTGCAGGCAAACATTCTAGGATTTTGTGCATTAGGAAAGATGAATAAATCAATACGTGGGGCTTACAAAACAAACTAACTAGTTAGCTGCCTTTTTTTTTTTTTTTTTTTTAACACAATGTCTCCTACAAGAACTGATTTGGGCAGAGGCAACTGTAAAGACACAGAGACATAATAGGCCATGATTGAGTAATCAACTTACTTGTGATGTTGGAAACAGTATGTTTCATTTGGATATCCAGTTATCACCCAGAATTTTAAAAACAACTAAACTGAGCTGAAAATTGCAGTTGATCCATTTTGGTAGAGACTATTTTATCTTGTGAGCAGTGACACTAGTGCTTTTGGATTCTGGTGCTGTGGTTCTAATTATATAAAGAGCTGTCAGGAACATTATTTTCTATGTAGGTGAAGATATTAAAAAGCTGAAGTTCATCACACTATGTCATGGAAATAAATGTATCTGACATTCCGGTGCATACCAGCTAGGACAACGCCCATGCCTACAATATTCAGACCTATCATAAATTCATAAGGATGGGACAGAAGGTTCTGGATGAGTAGATCCTTAAAAAAAAAAAATTCTCTTGTCTACATCTGACACTGTTCAGGAACCCAAATCATCTGGGAGCAAACTGGATGCATTTTAGTGGAAACTAAAGGCCAAAGAAACAAATGAAGCTCATTTCTCTTCCTCCATGTTCTTCTAGTCCAACTCAGGAGCATTGAGTCCCAAAGTCAATCTCCATCAAGCCATGTATAGGCAAGCACCCTATTCCTCTATGCTCCTACCTGTTTGTCAACCCTATACCTCACAGAAGAAACATACGGGAAGATTCCCTTGGCTGAGGCCCCATGATTCTCTAGTGAATACTTCTGTAATTTTCATTTATAAACCCCATCCACCAGATCCAGTGACTTGCAATTATCCACCATTTATATAAAACATGCAAAACAAAATAAAGTTAAGAAAGGAAATAGGCTTTTTTGAAAGATATAAATGTAAACAATATTCATGAAAGTTTTCTCCCCAAACATTGCAACTGATCTCCTCAGAGTTTAGGTTTCTTTGATCAGCTATCATTAAACCTCAAATGTTAAATGTTGATGAAGGAAACCTAGAAATAATCAAGCTAGAAAACTTGAAAATAAAATGGACACATTTTAGAATATAAGTAAAATATGTAGAAATATACTAGGATAGATAAAAATATTAACATACAAAGAATCAGTTGAGAATACTTAATGAGAATATTCTGGAAAGATATTTTGACACCTCTAAGCAGAGATGCCATAATTCCTAATCTCAAGTAATTTCTAAAATAAATCTCTGGACCACTGCAAACAAATGCAATTATTAAGTGACTCAATGGTATACATTTCCAAGTTACAAAAGTTTGAGAAATTCAAAATGTTCAATAGTTCAATGGCAGGGAAGTAGTTTGGGCTAATGTGGAAAAATCACGAAGATGGAGGAGATCCGACTGAAACTCTAAAGGAAAGGAGGTAAATGTGATGAAAACTAGTAGGTTGGTTGGGAAAAAGAGAAAGTAGGAAAGTGTGAGTGACTAGCAAGGCCTTGGCAAGCGCAAGCTGACATTCTAATCAGACTAACCTCTCTCTGCCCTCGTCCAGACCACGTTTCTGCCAGGCTAGGTGGGTAAGGAGCCTGTGCCCCGCCCCCCCGCCCCGCCACCAAGCCTGCACACCAGCTTTGCCGTCTGCAGCAACCTGGAGGAAGTGGCACCTTTTTTCTAATTTGCCGGCCCAGGGGAGGCACCATTAAATTTGTCTGTCTGGAGTGGGCTCTGTTTTGTGCCCAAAGATCTAGTATGTGAGTTCAAGCATTCATGCACTGACTGTTACAACTGACTCACAATTAGATTCCTCCGTCTCAATTTTCTCTTTGATTCTGCACTCAATGATTCCACTTACATGTCCATGAATACCATTTTGCCATTTTGGTGGCTTTCATTGATCTTATATGAGATCCAGAACTGCACCAAGTCATCACCCTCATTAAACCTCCCTCCTTTTATATTAACCCAGAATTCAAAATCTCTGTACCAACCTAGTCATTTGCTTGCAGTCATCCACACACAAGTTCCTCATCCCTCCTCCACCCTCCCCATGCATGTTTTGTGTTACTTCTCGTACTTTGTCTCTTTTCTATGCTCTGATCATCAATTGGAACTGGGTGGTTCAGCTGAGTGGCCTCATCGGTGGCAGAAGATCGGACAAGGACATGAGTAACAATACTGCTTGGCAGCAGCAAACAGGTTTGCTCAAAACTAGTCTTCTCCAGAAACTTTCTGAGAGAGCTGATTTCATTTCTTTGATCCACATTCTTTTTATAATCAGTAAGCTCAGTTGAAACAATAGTAGTCTCAACATCATTTAGTTCATATTAAAAAGCTTCCCAAATTCTTTTGGTGGAAACGAAGATGCTTTTCTCATGACTAAGGACAATCTAGATGACATGTAGGGCCCCAAATAATCTTGGTCACTGTCAGTATATTCACATTTCCCCCTGTTCCTTGCCCCTGTGGTCTAGGCAAGTTTCAAATTCAAAAAAGTCAATCTGGAGCTATTTCAAACTACTTCCCAGGTTCTGAGTGCAAAGGACAGGAGACAGACATTTTTCACTCAGCAAAGATAGTCAATAGGAAATTCGGGTTCAAACCACACTTCTGCTACTCTCTCCCTCTGTTCAAAATATGCAAGAACTGGATATAGGGGACATGGTTGACATTGTGTTATCTTCTGGGTGACCTCTGAGTACATAGTACTTGTCTGACAATGAACACAACCACAGGAAAGAGCCCTGTGTGTGTGTAGAATATGACAGTCGTGAAAATCTCTCCTTTGGATCCTAAAAAAGAAGTTGATGGGAGGCAACAAAAGGATGCATAGCAGTTTATAAAATTTGTGTCACAATCATCTCTCTCTCGACAGTTGAAATAAATTAAATCTGCTCCACATCTTGTACGTGTCTCTCTGCTTTAATCCCTACATTGATTTTTCACCAAACAGCCTCAAGACTTGAAATAATCAAATCACAACAGAGCAAATGCAAGTGATCTATTTCTGCTTTTCCATCTGACTTTTTTATTTTCAATCTTTACTTACATTTATTTTAAAAAGGAATTAAACCGAAACATACAGTCAAAAGCTGGGCATTTTCCATCAATTATAACTTTTTACTAATAAGCCCTGTTGATATTCTTTTAACTTGCCAATTGAATGTCAAAAAGCCATTTTGCAAGTGTTTAAAACACATGGACACTAACAATACTGACCATTACATTCAGTCACCTTCATATCGTTTACAGCTTATAGTATAGTTTTGTGTAAGAAATTTAGTCATGTCTGGACAAATGCATTTTTATTAATTAGTAAAAGTTAAATAACTATACCGCCTAAAAATTTGTTACCTCTATTTTTTTCTATAATTTAACATGTTTATAATTATTTTTTCAACATATAATGTAAAAGATTTTATTTTCTATTTGTTTGAAAAAGTTCCTTTATGCTATTTTTCTGAATAGAAATTTTCCTTGCCTTGGTCTCTGAGAGAAAACTAATGATTTTTTTTTCCCCTGGCCAGGTTTAAAAAATATTTCTCTAATGCAAGGCTTTTGTTTTTGTTTTTAAGGTACAAAATATTTTGTATATACGTCTGAAGGAATGGAGTCAACACCTAAAATGAAGAAACTCTGTTAATTTTTCTCCCCCACATATTCCATTACCCCTCTCTTTTATGTCAAGTTCTCAGAACAGTTTAGGTCTCGCCCACAACCCACGCTGCCCTAAGAGCAGCATAGAAGGCTCAATGGGGTCCGAGGTGATTATGTATGAGAAAGCGCTGTCCTCTGCCAATGTCCTCCTTAGCACACACAGCTGCTGCAGGCATGAACCCTGCTGTTCTTCCTTTCCCATGCAGGAATAGACATCGGTCTGCAGTATAATCAGAGTCTGTAAAGGGACGGCCAAATCCTGAGAAACCTTGGCTCTAGAAGTCTACACACAGGCCAAGGCCCATTGCTGGCTGGAAGCACATGAAAGAATGAGGGAAAGAGAGAGAGAGAGAGAGCGAGCGAACGGTGAAAGGAAAGAAGGAAGGGAGTAAGGAAGGAAGGATGGAAGGAAAAAGTTAATACAATTTCTGTCACCAGCAAAAATGGCTTCTTCTGACATGTTCGCCTGCTGTGAGAAAATGTGCCAGAGGCCGAGCCGGGAGAGCCTGAGACCACCTCCCTCTCGCTCCGACCCCGCCACACACTTCTCTCGAGGCCTCTCTGCACTTGCACTTCGGGAAGGGAAAAGTTACTTTTTCTTACTCTCACGCGGGTTCTGTGGGGCCTGCAGCTTACACGATTAGGGCTTCCTTATGACACAGGAAACAAATTACTAATACAAAATTAGTGCTGAGCCTTGTGGGAAGCCTGCTAAGGTTGAAAGGCCCAGAAGGCTAGTCTGTTTCTGCCCCAAGGGCCGAAAACAATGGAAGGAATCAAAGCCCTGAGCTCGCAAAGGAGTAACGTTATCAAACATTTATTAGATTCCATTCAACTCAACACTGACACAGCAAATACCAATCCAGCACCATTTTGTTATTGCTGAGGATACACGAGGATTATAAAACTTAGTCACCACCATCAAGACGCTGCACCGTAGTTGGAAACAAATAGAAGTTACCCGGCTGAAACTTGCAGGCTGTTAATACCATGTATTTTTTTAGACTTACCAATTGTCTTTTTAATTTCAGGAATGTGGCAGATCAAGAAGCTGGAAAGATTTGTAATTGTTAAATCTGTGATTGATGGATTAGCAAGATAAAGAAAAACCAAATCCTAGCATTCTTACCTAAGCTCCAACATTAAAAAATATTTTGAACAATAGAGTCATGAAAAAGACAACAGAAACCAATCCACAGTGGTTGGCCTTTTCCATTTTTAACCCTGGAAGACATCCATGACGTACTCACCGTCAGTTACAGTCAACCTCATCGCGAACGTTTCGGAGGTTTCATTGTCCCCTGCACTGGCCTTGAAACAACAGCGGTAAAGTCCTGAGTCAGAGGCCGTGACGTGGGGCATGATGATGAAGGTGCTTCTCATGCCCTGACTACAGTCACTGAGTATCTGTCTTTGGTACTTTGAAGGATAACTTTTCCCTTGGGACAAGTTGCAGCTAGTCAGGAGGTCGATCTGATGGGGCTGGATCTTTTCCCACGAAACCTTGTGTATTGGCCACTTCTGTGGTAGCTGACAGGTGAGCGTGACATTTTTCCCAGGTTCTGAGATGATGTGGCTCTTTGATGGCACAGCGATCTCAAAACTATCTGAAAACAAGAAGCAAATGATTACACATAAGTCCTCAAATTTTGGGGCGCAAAGGTGGGAGATACCCAGAAAGTTCTATCAAAAGTTGTGGTGATGTTATTTAACACAACTTCATCAACTGTAATTGATATCTTCATGACACATTTTTGTAAGAAAAGACCTTTGAAAGAGGCGAGTAAATAAATAGAAGAGAGGATATACTTGTTTGCACATATTCTCTCAAGTTTTACATGGTTAACCATATAACAAGAAGCGTAATCAAAACCCCTGGTACTTTTCTTGGTAATGATCTTATCAAGAGGCTGAATTTCACAAGACTATTCTGTGGTAATGCTGGGCTGGTGACTCAAAGATTGTATCCAGATAGTAAGGACTGATTTTAATGGTCATTGAAGAGATAACAGATCATTTTCATTTGAATAAATACCTATATAAACTGATCTTTCAGATATACAGGTTGTTTTAGGCTCCATAGAGTAGGGGTCCACATGTGATTTAAATCCCCGTGTACCAAGAAAGTCCTTCAATATTTTCCCACTTTCCTACCACCATAGCTGAGATACTCAGCACAGAGCACTCAGTAAACAAGCACCAGATAGTTCTGGGCCCCTCTCTTGACTTCCAATTGAAAAAGAAAAGAAAGACAAGAAGAGTCGAGGGGACAGGGAGAGGAGAGTAGACACCACACTTGAGAGAAGAAGAAATTGAGTCTAAAACGCAGTAAGAGATTTGCTGTCTATATTAAACTAGAGTACTGTGTCTATGATAGTTTCATCTCCACCAAAAACTAGCTTCTTTTATTCAACAAGTGGTTCCATTGGTCGAAATGTTGTTGAAAAGAGAAAACCACAGCACTCCAGGTTTTCAATTTGTAATCGTACAACTATTTATCAAATTAACACTTAACCCACATAACAAGCACACAGGAAGCATTTTATTTCTAAATAAAAAGACAACGGAAGAACAGGGGAATAAAAAAGAAGGAAAGGGAGAAAATTCGTAAGACACGGAGAAAATAAGAAAATAAAAGTCTAAAGAAAACAAAGGAGAAACTAAAATAAAATTAAGACAGTGAAAAGAAGATATGAGAAAAGAGAAAAAAAATGAGAGACAATATAAATAAAAGACTAAATCAGATACACATACACTGTACTGGGAAAATATAAGGAAATAAAAGAAAGGAAAAAAAGACAAAGAAACAAGTGTTTGTGTAAGCAGAGCTTGACCCGCAGAAGTTGGCGGCAGGCTAGCCCTGTCCGTCCTGAAGTTTGTCTTCAGTGCTGCGTACCTGCTGTTTTGTTGTCTTCCTCTGTGGGGCCACCCTCCACCCACCTCAGGAGCTTGATGTGCCCATGTAACGAAAACCTGCTCTCAGGAAGCAGTGCCATGTGATGTTGGCTCAGGTATAAAGGGGGATCTTCTCTTAGGAGTGTCTGCATTGGTTCCAAGGACAAATGCACAAAGCAGTGAAGGCAGTCGCCCATGCTGAACAGCTAGGCATCACGGTCTCGGGTGGAGCTGTCCTCCAGGGAGCGGGGAAGGTTCCCCGGCCCAGGCTTTACGTAAGGACCCAGAATCACCTGTCAGTAGACACAGACGGGACTGAAAGAAGCAGACCCCCACTCAGAGGCAGGTGGTTCGGAGGCACAGAGCAGCCCCCATTTAACCTTCCCAGATGAACAGAATAGCTGGTTGGTGTCAGATAAAAACCGAGACCCAGAGGAGGTCCGCAGAGCCTGCCTGGCCTCTTGTGTTGCTTGCTCATGTCACCTGCTCATGTCTGCTCATGTCACCTGATCCTCCTGCACGGCACATGTAAGGTGACAGGAAATGTGTCTGAAAGAACCCCCACACAAGAGACCCCGGCATCCTGACGTGCTTGGAATTGGAAAGTGCATCTACTTAAAATAGGGACCAAAATGTTGTAGTTGATAGGGAAGAAAAAGTTTGATTAGAACCTTAAATATAGAAACAAAAACAATAAACACCAGTTAATTTTATATATCTATTTAGTGATGTATTAATTCTCAGCATAAACATAGGATAGAATGCATTTTGTTTTGTTTCGTTTAAAAGACTGTTTTTTAAAGCAGTCTTCTGTTTACAACAAAATTGAGAGGGAGGTACAGAGGTACAGAGATTTCCCCACGTACTTCCTCCCTGCCGTGACACACAGCCTCCCCATTATGGACATCCCCCATCAGGATGACACATTTTATACCAAGTAGGAACCTATATTGTCACATTATAATCACCCAAAGTCCAGAGTTTATATTAGAGTTCACGTCTGGTGTTGTGCATTCTATGAGTTTGGACAAATATATAAGGACACATGTCCACCATGATGTCATACGGAGTATGTCTGCTGCTCTAAAACTCCTCTGTGCTCTGCCTACTCTTCCCGCTGCCCTGCCCCAAGCCCTGGCACCCACCGATACTCTCACTCCTCCATACTTCTGCCTTTCCCAGAACGTCAGATAGCTGGAATCATATGGCAAACAGCCTTTCAGATTGGCTTCTTGCACTTGGCAAGGAGCATGTAAGGTTCCTCTATGTACTTTCATGCTTTGATAGCTCATTTCTTTTTAGTGTTGAATAATACTCCATTGTCTGGATGGACCGCAGTTTATTTATCCATTCACCTACTGAAGGATATCTTAGGTGCTCCCAAAACAATTTTGCAATTATGAGGAAAGCTTCTGCATACAACCACGTGCAGGACTTCGCGTGGACACGAATTTTTAATTCCTTTGGGCATAGATCAAGAAGCATGACTGTATGGTAAGAGTATATTTAATTCTGCAAGAAACTGACAAACTGCCTTCCATAGTGGCTACCCCATTTTCCATGCCCACAAGCAACGAATGAGGCTTCATGTTACTTCCGTCCTCATCAGCACTGGGTGTTCTCAATGTGCAGGATTTTGTCTGTTCTAAGAAATTGGTCTGTGTGTTGTTTTTACACGATATTATTACAGAATAATATGATGAAATTCTCTGTACTTTGTATATGATTTTTCCGACATGGTAACGGATCGTTTTAAAAAATTATCTCAGTGCTTCATCAGCTTTGCCAAGCACCACTCAATCCCTGGGGGCCCCCAAACATTCCTGGGTACACCTGTGCATCGTGCCACTGCCCCGGGCCGCCACCACGTCCCCAGCTGCGAAGCTGTCCTCCTTCACCCTTCTCACCAGCACTGGCTTTACGTGCAGCGTGAGCAGCCCTGTGTTATCACTCATCAACTTCGCAAAACCCTGAGTCCACTTATTAGAAGCTTCATAGGCCCAGGCCTCTGTATAGACCTTTACATACCACTCTATACTTAGGACCTAGAGCAGTGTTTGGCATAGAGCAGAGAAGTCAAGAGATCATTTCTGAATAAAAAATGTACTTGTATTTTCACTTTGCAGTCACTGTGTGTACCCACTGATCTGGAGCAGGGGGATATCTACATCCACAAAACCTCTCATACTGAGAAATGTGTTGGAAATCCCATGTGTAATGCCTAAAGGAATTAACTGTTCCAGGCAATGATCATCAATGTCTGCAAATTCACAAAAAAGCCCATTCATGTCTCCACGATGCCACCCTGAGAATAGTAGCCTTGCCGAAATAATCCAGTCTGACCCGGTTCAAGCCTCTAAATCTAACCTACCAATTTACAGAACTCCAAAGAGCAGAGAAACATGTCCAGTGACACCCAGGCAAACAATCCCTGGGAATACGAAAACACAGAACTCCTCAGCTACAGACAGGACGTCTCCCATCCCTGAAAACCAAGTTTGGACCCTGTGGTGCTTGCTGACTAATCCCCCTTTCTTCTTCTCTATTCACTCAAAATTCTGGAAGGAATCCACTGCTCCTGACTCTGCCTCATTTCTCATGTGTGCTTCAAGGCACCGAGGAACCACTCCTACCATTCTCCAGCACGGCAAGTCATGCGTGTTCTTGACCTTGAGTACTGGGTGCTACTCCGTGCTGGAAACCGCTCGCCTTCTCTGACCCTGCATGTCCCTGCCTGCCGTCTTTCCTTGCTAACCTTCCTCCACAGTCTTACTCAGGGGTCCTTCCGCCTCTGCTGGTCTTTTAAAATGTTGTCTCTCCCCACTCCTCCCCCGGGGTTCCAATGCCCATCCCCCTTTGCTCACCATCCCTGGGTAATCCCCCCCCCCACCTGCAATTTCCAAACATCTCTTACGTGCAGATGTCCAAATCCACTGCCCCTGCTCAGTCAGACCTCTCCCCAGGGTTTCCAAAACACAAGACAATAACTTGCTCTTATGATGTTTAAAATAGGCTAAAAATTAAACAGCCAGAATTGCCCTCAACTATCTGCAGGAGCACTATTACTCCAGCTAATTAGAAGTGATAATAGTAGTAGCTTTGTGTATTCCCACTGTGCCTAGACTATGTATGTGCTCAAGAGAGAACTTTCCTAAAAGCTCTTAAAGTGTCCCATTTAAATGCAAAATAAAATGTCCACTGCATTATGACTAAGGAAGTATTTAAAATGACCTGAGATAAAGATCTCAAAAATAAGCAAGCACTTGCTAAGAGATTACATCCTCAGAGTTCTCATCAAAGAAAAAATAAAATTTTGTAACCATGTACAGGTGACGGTTGTTAACTAGATATGAGGTCAACACTTCTCAATATACGTATCAAGTCATTATGTTGTACCCTTGAAACTAATATCATGTTATATTTTACCCCAATAATAAATACTTTAAAAAATTTTTAAATAAAGAAAAATTGAGGGGGGAAGCAAGCAAAAGAAATAAACACACAAACTCCCAATCACAAGCAGGCAACAAGGTCCAGGGAGTGGAGAAATGGCAGTTTTGAAGCTCACAGGCAGGGGCTGCAGTGCAGGCGATGCATGGAAGACGGAAGAAGGAGCACAGACTCGAGAGGCTAAAGTTCCCAAGGGTGACTCTGCTTCCCCCACAGCTCAGCAGGTGACAGACAAAAAGCAGAAAAGGCAGTCCTGGTGGGC